AATTAAATCCCACAATATGGACCAATAATGAAAGTGAAAATAAAAGTACTCCTAATTTTTAAACCGTTGAAAAAACAAAAAGCGAAAGACTTTTTTGAGGGGATGAACTACCTGGAATATACTCCGTAGTACCCACGCATTTGCGCTATATATATAATATATATATATATATATATATATATATATATATATATATATATATATATATATATATATATATATATATATATATATATATATATATAGGGCCGGTCCCGAAAAATGAAAAATTAAATTTGGCCCGGTCCTAAATTTACATTTTGGACCCTATTTTAATTTTTTAAAATGCTTTTTTCTTTAAAATTATTAACAAATTTAAAATTATGAGGCCCTAAGATTTTAGGGGCCCTGTGCGGTTGGCCACTTTGCACACCCTCCGGGCCACCCATGTATATATATCATGTATATATATGATGGGTATCATTACATGTAGTATATAATAAGATTATATATTGCGAGATTATACCTCCGGCAAAGTACTGAGTTTTATTTGAATTGGTTGCTTGTGAGGCCACCATGAGAAAGGAAGAACAAGCAGTAGAGACAACTCAGCAGAAACCGGGAGGTATACCTTTTCATTTCATTTCTTTTTTCGTTTTTGTTTTTTCATAATGCTAATTAAGGTTATGATGAGGAGCCCTCTCCACACCTTTATTCCCTCGATCATATCCACTGTAATAATTGGACTCTTAAATTTTTAAAATATTTCTCTATTTCTGTTAAAATTAAGTTCTACTCCTTCCGTTTGCAAAAAGAATTCCCATCGTGATTTGGAGCAAAAATAAGGAAGTGTTAAATTATACTCCTTTCGTTCTCAAAAACACTTCTTCTTTCATTTTTTCCACTCTTAAAAAAACACTTCCCCTTCCTATTAGAAAACCACTTTTACCCTTACCTTTTCATACCCTACCTATCAAAATGGAAAGTCTTTTTGCAAACGGAGGGAGTAGTTGATTTTCAATTTTGCCCCTGATGTGATGGATATGTTATTAGAGAAAAGTATGATATGATATATAGGGTATGAAAAAGTAAGGGTAAAAGTGGTTTTTTAATAAAAAGAGGAAGTGTTTTGTTGGAAGTGGAAAAAATGAAAGAATAAGTGTTTTTGAGAACGGACGTAGTATCTTTTATAAAATAATAAAATATTTTTTTATTTTATTTAGGGTTCATTATTTTTTTTCTTTTGGGTTTATTATTTTTTTCATTCGTAATTATTAATTTTTATCTGGTTTTTTAATATTATAACAATTAAAAAGTATCAACTACATGAATTAAAAATGGTACATGATTGCATTACTTAACATAAGAAAAAAATAAGTACATGATAGCACAAAAAAATTAAGCATAAGAATTAATTAAAAAACTGAATATAGATATAAACATCAAAAACAGTTGAATTGTGTTTCTATGATCATAAGCTCTACATGTGAAATGTGAATCTTCAATACAGGATTTTTTTTCAAAGACTCAATTCCTCCATAGTGTTTATATTATATACCAAGGTCCATAAAACGAATGCATGTAAACCTTAGGTTTATAGGAAAATTTGCCAAAAAGCTAGTCTTTGGACTAATATTGTCTTCTTATTTTTCGTTGGTTTTCTCGGTGTTTATCGAGTTATAATTTATACTTGAAATGAGTTTCGTTCCAAATAATAATAACAAAATAAAATTCTTTCAATTTAGAAGTGTTTGAGTGAAAGTATAAATGAGATATAATGTCAAAATAATTATATACTCCGTATATAATATTGGTTCCGTAGGAGAGATTTTTTAAAAGGATTCCTGACCAACATATTATTTAGCAAGTTTAGAGTTACTTACAGTATAAATTTAAAATTAAATAAAATGATTTAATAATTTAAAATTTTTTAAAAAAACATTAAGCACCAACACTTCCTTCGACGAAGGATCACGGAGGAAGAGAAGTGGAGTACTACGTACACTTAGTTTAAAAAATTCATATCTGAAATGTAAATCTTCCCATTTGTTTTATGGGCCGACTAGGGGATCTTTTTTTTTCAAAGAACCAAATTCATTCATGGTGTTTATGTACTAAGGTCTCTGTGGATCTTAGGACCACAGAAAAATTTACTTTTTTTTAGTTGTATATCCATGATTATAAGATTTACATTTAAAATATGAATCTTTTCATACTTTTCATGAGCCAACATAGAGATTTTTTATTTTTTAAAAGAGTTTGTTAGACATTAGAATTTTATTCCTAGTAGAAGTTGTAATAGCTAGATATCTTCCTAGAGGAATCCTACTCATATTAGGATCTCCACCTATATATTCCCATGTATCCTCCTTTATTTCCTTGAGTAAAATCTATTGTTTCATAAAATTCAACATGGTATCGGAGCAACAAGATCCTCTCTCCTCTCTCATACGTTAAACAAAAAAAAAACCAGCGGCTAGGGTTTCTGCCGAAGCAGCACCCTCACGCCAACATCATGTCTCTCTCTGACGATCCTATGGATCATCTACCCACCGGCCTCAAGCTGTTCGTTAGAAACCTCCAATCTCTCACTCCGGCGAAGCTTGATGACTCGAACTACCCCTCTTGGTCAGCAACCATTCGAGCTAATCTTCTGGCTCATCGTCTTCTAAGTTACGTGGATGGAACAGGATCCGCTCCTCCCCCTCTCGTTATTGACGGCAAAGCTGCAGCCTCCGGAAAAGAAGACTCGCCGGTCATGAAGGCAAATCCGGCATATGAGACATGGATGCTCATTGATGCTCAGCTACGTGCATGTTTATTAGCCATCGTCTCNCGGTCGGCTGAGGACGGGGCAGACCGTCCCTTCGAGAATCCCACCTTTTTTCGCAGCTTAGTTGGATCTCTTCAGTATTTAACAAATACCAGGCCAGATATTCAATTTGCGGTGAATTATGTCTGTCAGCGTATGCATGCTCCTACAGAACAGGATTTTCAATCCTTAAAACGTATTCTGCGCTATGTAAAAGGCACACTTGATCGAGGGTTAATATTTCGCAAAGGTCCGCAAAGGTTACACGCCTACTCTGATTCTGATTGGGCAAATGATATGACAGATGGGCGCTCCATTACAGGTTACTTGGTATACTTTGGCTCGAACCTCATCTCCTGGAGCACAGAGAAACAAAGTCGGGTATCTCGCTCGTCAACAAAAGCCGAGTACCGTGCTCTATCGGCTGCTGCAGCAGAGGTCATGTGGCTCACATATCTGTTTGACATCTTGAAGGTTAAGCTTCCTCCACCACATCTTTACTGTGACAATCAGTCTGCCATTTGCTTAACCAAGAATCCGGTATTCCACAAACGCATGAAACACGTCAATACAGACTGTCACTTTGTGCGAGAGTAGGTTATTGCAGAACAAATGACCGTTTCACACGTCCCATCTCATGAGCAATTGGCAGATCTTCTTACCAAAGCTTTTCCGTCTCCACGCTACACCACACTGGTTTCCAAGCTTTCACTAGTTTCACGACGTTCAGCTTGAGGGGGGATGTTAGACATTAGAATTCTATTCCTAGTAGAAGTTGTAATAGCTAGATATCTTCCTAGAGGAATCCTACTCATATTAGGATCTCCACCTATATATATTCTCATGTATCCTCCTTTATTTCCTTGAGTAAAATCTATTGTTTCATAAAATTCAACAGAGTTCAATTCATCCATGCTGTTTACATATTAAGGTTAGGGTAATGCTATGTTCACAAACTAAACTTACACAAAACTCATAATCTTTGTCACATCATCATATCATTTAATAAAAATAAAATAAAATAACAAATCCCAACAAAATAATTAACGGAGTAATACGGATCTCAGCAAACTCCACTTCCCATCTCACCAAACTCCATTTCCGATCTGAGCTTACCATTTACCGTTTCTGCAACAAAAAGCTTCTCACATCTCCTTCAGATCTCAACGCGCTCAATTGCTTCTGATCTCAGCTTTTCACCATGTTCTTATCTTCAATTAGTATTACCCCTAATTTTTGCCATCTCCCTTTCCGATTGCATGAGTTCATGAGCTAATTTTGAGGATGTTTCTCAAGTTTATGGCAAACACATGAGGGAAACGGTATCAAATTATGCTTCATCTTCAATAATTGGCTTTATTTGTTCATCATCACAAACCCGCGTTCGGTCCTAAGTTGACCAGTGTGGGAATGCCCGCGTTCGGTCCAAAGTTGACTGTCGAGGCCGAAGCCATAGTCGGTCCGAGAAACGGGTTCGAATTATCGACGGGGTGATCCCCTGTGGTTTCGAGTCCGGGAATGGGTCGAGGGCCGACCCGAAGATTGAGCTCGGCATTGAAAGTGACGTCATGGTTGCGGCCCCCACACTTGCCCCGAAGGGTATTGGTGAGGACGGCACAACCATGGCGACCGAAGAGGTTTCCACCGGAATTTCGGAACTTATTCCGTTGCCGGAGGAACCCACGATGCCGAATCTGAACTCCATAATACTACCTTAAGATTGTTGACTATTACAGCGGGGAAAATAAAAATAAAATAATCCGAACTTATAAAATGTTCAGATTTTACAACAAAAAAATAAAATACAATTTGGAGTCTTCGGGAGCTCGAACAGACTTTTCTTCGGACGGAGAACAATGGGTCGCCGGAGATGTTTCTAGAACCGTAGGTAAGGAAAGCGGAGTCACCGAAGCTTTCCTTAAGGTAGTATTCCCCGCCTCCCGCACTGGCAAACGTGGGCAATCTCCTCCCAGGATAAAACCGCAACGTGCTAAGTCTAGAGCGGTAGAACAGAGCACCGGCGAACGAGAACGACGGGAGTTATAGCCGGAGAAGGTGATCGGAAATGGGAGATGGCCGGAAAGTTATAACGCAGAGAGAGAGAGAGAGAGAGAGAGAGATTTTCGAATTGAGTGGTCTATTCCCTGCAGCCGAGACCTCCATTTATAGGAGAACAATTGGACCCTTTGCTGGACTTGTCGGATATTACGAAGAGTCGAATGACTCTTCATACGTAGTGCATGCATGCCTTTACCCCATACAACACTTCGTTATTAACGAAGCGTACACACGTTTAATTCGATCTCGTAAAAAGTTAGCCCTGCCCCGGGCACGCCAAACCGGACGGATGGCGGCGGATGGGCGCGCGAGGAGTCCTCTTCTTGTTCCTTTCATAACCTCAATTCAAAGCCTAAGCTTAAGTATGAGAATACGAAAGGTTTAGAAACCGGTGTGGGACAAAGGCATTTACTCTAACTTAGCATTCAACTTTGAGAATTAATTTCTCATTCACCCGAGCACCGTTTATGACGTGTCATATATCAAGACGTTCGTCTTACTTACGAGATTAATCGTCTATAATTATTTTGGAAAATAATTTTGTGGACCCAACCGAATTTATGTCCGAAAATGTCCAATTTACTTTAAAATTTCCAACAAGATCCACCCTACAACAAAAATAGACAAATAAAAAAGATGGACAATGTAAATAACTATGAAGGGTTTTTTTTTTTTGAACAGAATGACTATACTTAAACTTCTTTCAGGACAAATTACACGTTGTGTTGATTTATTTATATGGTTCCTTTTTTGTGTTTGGGCTTGGAAAAAAGGTTATCCGATGGAATACTGTCCACCCAGAGCGGGAAGGAAGAACAAGAAACGGCACAATACTAAGTCAAAAGGGGACAAATCTTGCTGCGCTTCCATGTGGAAATGGATAGAAGTTGGCATTGACTTCATTTGTTGTTTTGGATTTTGTGGTATTCGTCCGCCAGCTCCGGCGGCAAACCCCTAAATAAATAAAAGGGCCATGATTTGATTAATGGAGAGTTACGTTGAATCCGCGCACCATGCCTTATCTTTTACGTGTTTCTGTGTTTGTGTACTTAGGGTGTTTTTTCCCATATTTGTTTCTTCGAGCGAGTGTCATTATATTATTGTTGTTATGGATATCCATCTACTCCCTCCGTCCCAAAAAGAATGGGACGCTTTGACTTTTTGGGAAATTAAGAGAGAAATATTTTGGTATTGACTTTCCAAAAATACCCTTGATGTGATGGGTAAAAGTAGGATGTGATGGGTAGATTATTAGGAAAAAGGTATGATGTGATAGGTAGGGTATGAAAAAGTAAGGGGTAAAAGTGGTTTTTTAATAGAAATGTAACGAACTTTACGGGACGCAGTTTTTTCTAAACGTAACAAACTTTTTGGGACGGGGGAGTATATGTTTTTCAAAAGATTCTCAAGTCGTGCATGCGTTGATAATTTCAATGTCTTCCGCTGTATTTATCTAATTGTATTTCATTAGATCATACTGGATGGACGGGAGTTTGAAGAGACGCTGTTCACGAATTTCATTCTTAGCCGTGATGGTACAGTTTGTTCATAATTGATGGTATTGAATTATGAATATAAGAAAGTGAAATTTGCATTAAATAAGACCTCATTTTCCAATGTAGGACTTAAACTTTTTTTATTCTCTAAATAGGACTTAGAGCCTCTTCTTTAGGGCTTGAACTCTTAACTTCCAGTTCCTTCCAGTTTTTTCCAGTTCTTCCAGTTTCTTCCTGTTCTTCCAAATCCTTCCAATTTCTTCTAGTTTCTTCCAACTATTCTCATTTTCTTCAAACTCGTTCTACTTCTCAACCAATTACTCTAAAAACGATATATTTTAATGTGATTATTATTATTATTATTATTATTATTATTAAAACTGTTATGTTCATAACTATAGCTTATAATTTTTTTTTCATCTCACTATTTTTATGATTCACACTCATTATTCTTTTCATCAACTTTTTCATATGAATAAGACAATTTTTTTTTACATAAGTCTACATGATAAAACAGTAAAACATCAATATGTTAAATTATATTAAAAATTATGAATAAAATAGTTGCATTGAATGTTTTATTAATCTAACATTATATAAAACCTCTCAGCTTTCCATTTATTACTTAAAATTTGCTCATTTTTATAATTTTTATTAAAAAAATGTAAGTCAAAATACTTATAGAAAAAGACTAAAATAGGAGTAAAACATAAAAAATGTAAAAAAAAATTCTATGTCTTTAATCCAAAAATAGGACTTCAATGAAAATAAAATGTCAATCATGAAAGAAACAATATTTTTTATTACATTATGTGACATGTCTGATATTTAAAAAAATCTTATAATATACTCCCTCCGTTTTCAAAAACTCTTCCTCTTTCATTTTTTTTACTTCCAACAAAACACTTCCACTTTCTTTTAAAAAACCACTTTTACCCTTACTTTTTCATACCCTACCTATCACATCATACTTTTTCTCTAATACTTAATCCATCACATCTTACTTTTACCCATCACATCAAGGGCAAAATTGGAAGTCAACTACAATTTAACACTTCCTTATTCTTACACAAAGTCAAAATAGGAACACTTTTAAAAAACGAAGGGAGTATAAATTATAATTACAAATATATTATTTATAATAAATACTGCATAAATAAATTGAGGTGCAATATAACCACAAAGACTTTTTAAAATTTAATATTTTTATATTTATGCTAACTTCATATTATAATATTTTTGCAAAAGTAGTTTTTTGTATTTAAAAAATAACAATACTATTTTTGTATCTTAAAGTCAATAATTAAGATATCGTGATGATGATGACGACGACGATGATGATGATAATAATAATAATAAGAAGATATTTCTTAAATGGTCCCCAATTATACACAATTTTCCATATTTAGTCCCCAATTATAAGATATTCCATAAATAGTCCTCAATTTTTGAAAACTATTCCACAAATAGTCCTTTTCACCAAATATGACAAAATCATTTGATTAATTCTCAAAATGATCTTTTGTAATAAGGTTTTTCTCAAAAAAATCTCCAATAAACGAAAATTACTAACTTGATACTTTATAATTGAGATGTGTTTCTTAAAATACTCCTTTAGAATTGAGATGTGTTATCTAAATACTCTTTATAATTGAGATATGTTTCCCACTTAATTTAAAAAATAATAATTTTGAGGACTTATTCATAGTTTAGATAATAAAGAGTATCAAAATACCCTCTATTTAACAGTTATTTAATAGACATTTTTTATAAAGGGATATTTACAAAAATATCTCAATTATAAAAGACCAAGTTAGTAATTTTGAAAAAACCTTATTAAAAAGAATCATTTTGAGAATTTACTCAAAATATATAGTCATATTTGGTTAAAAGGCCTATTTGTGGAATAGTTTTAAAAAATTGAGTACTGCTTATGAAATATCTTATAATTTGGGACTAAATATGGAATTATTTATGGAATTTACTCTAATAATAATAATTTATAACAACAAGAATTTAAAATAAATATTTTTAAAGTTTTTTTAGGTTTTCCCATTTTTTGAAGTTTTTCCAGTTTCTTCCAGTTTTTTCCAATTTCTTCCAATTTTTTCTAGTTTCTTCCAGTTTCTTCCAGTTCTTTCGAGTTTATTCCAGTTTCTTCCAACATCCAGCTCTTTTTTCCAGTCCTAAAAAACAGGCCCTTAATAATGTCTAGTGGAAGAAATAATGTCCATTAATGATAGATATTTACTTAAATAATAACTGATTCATAATGACCAAAGGTCCTATATTGGAAAATAAAATCATATGGTCTCATATTGGGAAAGTCATTATGTTTTAGTCCTATATAGATAAATTTCTCATTGATGACCAAATCTTCAGCCACAATGGACGCCAATCACCTCGATCATAGCGCAAGACCCGGATTCGATAATCATTAGTTGCCATGTATGTCACATTGTAAAGGCTAGAAATAGAGGAGAAAGGTTAATGCAAAAGGTTAAGGTGAATTAAGCTAATACAAGTAATAGTGAGATCGCACTCTGAGAGTTCTATATTTCCTTATTTTTGTTCTCTCTTCCTCCATAGTCGATAGGTTAAAATTCTTCAAACTTGATCAGTTATTAGGGGCAGCGTGGAGCACGAGAATTGAATGGGGCTGACGGAAGCAGTTTCATGAGAATAGCGGCTAGAAAGAGAGAGAAAGATTTTCGTTGCACGACGAACAAGCTTGAGAGTGTGTTCCGGAGTTTTTTCGAGTGAGAAATTTGGTAATTAAAGTGAGGGCGAGAGATTTCTTTTTCTCCTTTTGGGCCATTTTTCGGCTTAATTGTCGCTTCTCATTCTCTTGAACTATAGAATTTGCACAGACGAATACAGCTTTCCAGTTCTTCGATCATGCAAACAACATTTTTGAAGAAAGAGAGAGAGAGAGAGAGGTAGGGACAGTGGCTGTTAGGCACACCCAAACTTTTTGGAGAGAAAGAGAGGGATAAGGGAGAACGAGGTCATGACTTGTGATGGTCAACCGCCGATGGTGAAGATTCGCGGTGGTGCACAATCAAAAGAAATTAAAAGAGCTAGGTTTTTTAAAGAGAAAGACCTTAACTCCGATATTATTTTTAGTGTGATTGACTCTATTAAAATGTAGTATATGTTCATACTTATCTTAACCTAATGACACGCAAATAGTCAACGCCTCTGACTCTGCTGTGGCTTGAATCTGGTTGAATTTTCTCATGAATTCTAGAGAGTGGGTTTGATACAACTCATGATGTTATTTTATAATAATTGGTCTTATTAAATTACGAAGGTTTTGCCACTATATATAAAAATTAGAAGGAAATTTTTGGTTTTGGTCTAAGAACACAGTTACTCCTATTTTGGGGAGCCAGGTTCCACCATTATTAAAAGAAATTGAATTAATAAAAATTCAATCTGTTGTAATCTGCAAAGTGTTTCTCGTTTTGACATATAGACTATTTCAATAGAGTTGAGATTTACTATTAACTTATACATGTTAGATTTGAAGACATAAGATTTTATAAATTAAAAAAAATTATCGTGATAGAACTAAAACATAAGCTATATCCCCAAACTAAAATAACTAGGAGTGAGTGATTATGTTTTGTGACCGAAATAGGATCTAAATATTAAAATAAAAAATGCGGCATTTATTTAATAAAAAGGCAGCAATAGTTGATGCCCCTAGCAAAAACAAGCAAACACATTAAATTGGGATACCACATTTGTACACCAGGTAAACACAGACAAACACATACACTTAGTGTTTGTGGATCACAGATCACACTAAGTGTGTGTGTTGCCAGGTGTACAAATGAGATACTCCATTTTGGCGGACCCCTAGCATGCCCCATAAAAAAATGAAGCGCCGCCCCTCTCGTTCAATTTTGAATTGGAATGATGATGGTGGTTTAAAATTTTTTTGAATTTGTTATCACAAATTTTTTGCTCTTTTTTTGAAAAGTAATGTGTGATGCAAATGTGACATTGTATGTTGGTAAATAATACGGAGTATTGTTTTTTTATATTTCATTGTGCTTTTTAATAAATTATTACATTATACGTTGGCATGTTTGACATTATTCGTGGTCATGTTTGACACTCTGACATTGCAACGAGATATTAGCAACATTAATCTTTTTTTACGGGGGGAGGGGGGATTCGCAAGGTTGTTTTAGAATGATGAATTTTGGTTGTATTTTTGGAATAAATACATGGGAGTCATATTTCACTTCTTTCTTTACGTTTTACTTCTACTTTATTGTTTCTCCAAAGTGTGTACGAGTACTTTCAATTTAACTTGTTAAATTTTAGTGAGTAATTGTAGCAATATAATCTTAGAACAATTGCATTGTATGTACAGTATAAATTTTTCTGATTCTGAATACTGTTTGTTTGGGGTTATTGCACAAAAGCCCTCTCTGGTTTGATTATGTAACACATATACTCTCTTTCCTTTCAAAACTACCCTATATCTCCCTTCATATTGAAAATCAAACGCACGAAGTGGTGATGAAGCAGCCGTTGGAAGCACGTGCGTACGTTGCATCTGGGGAAGACTGTATATTGCCTTTGTTAGAGAGGATAAGACCAAAATACTCTCCACCATCTTTATAAGGCTCACCTTTATTATGCTTTTATTATCTCTAGTACACACATGGCTGGCCCAAAAATATAAAAAATGATATTAGCCATGTGCCAAAATCTATGTTGGGCCCTATTTTACTTTTTCGACTTACTTGTGTTTAAAATTAGTGTTAATTTTTATTTATTTTTAATAACAAACTCGATTACAATTTGAACAATAAAATATAATTTTATACTTCGTATTAAATTTAAAAATACCAAGTAAATAAAATATTAAATATCTAACAATATTGCATCCTAAAAATTTAAGTCTAGTAAACACAGATTACCTGGACTACACTCACAATCAGAATCATTCAAGTCTTAATATCGATCCATCTGAATTAGATGAAAAAAGAGATAGAAAGAGTAGATAAGGCTTTAGAGAGAATTTGATAAAATAAAAAAAAAAATTAAAGAGATAGTGGAGATGAGGTGACGATTCCATAGCAATTACATTCGAAGGTAAATAGATAAATTTTAAATTCTTTATTTGAGATTATCAGTGTGTGTTTGGTTTCTAACAAGAGGGGGATATAAGGTACTTTTGATAAATTTTAAATTCTTTATCTGAGATTATCATCCGCGGTGTATGTGTGTTTGGTTTCCAACAAGAGGGGGATATAAGGTACTTTTGATTGTAGAGGGGGTGTATTTTTCATTAAGCAAAACACTGGGGCTTATGTGTAATAACCCCCTGTTTGTCTTTGGAAAGCTTTCAATTACCTTTTAAAAGCAACTCCATGCCATTTTATCAGTATTTAATAATATGAAAAGAAAAGCATTCATAATAAAACTAAAACATAGAAAAAATCAAAAGATGGAGCTAGGAGAGCTGCTGAACGGCATATGTGATATCAGGACGAGTAAAAGTGAGATATTGCAATGCTCCAACAATAGATCTGTACAAAGAAGGATCAGAGAGCACTGTGCCAGATGATGATGAGGAGGGCTTTGCCTTTGTGTCCACTAGGGTAGAGATGGGACGACAAGAGACCATCCCAACCCGCTCAAGTATGTCATGCAATGTGTAAACTGTGTCTGATGGAGGAAAAGTCCAGCAGGTATACGATGAACATTGATGCCGAGAAAAAAAGTGCAAATCTCCTATGTTTGTCATGGAAAGTTCTGCCTTGAGCTGTTGAATGAGACTCTTGAGGAGTGCAGGTGAGGAGGCAGTGAGAACTATATCATCAACATATAGTAAGAGATAGGTGGTACCCATGGCACGGGAGAAAACAAATAGAGATGTGTCAGCCTTGCACCCACGAAATCCAATGGTCTGAATGAACCCTGCAAACCTGTGATACCATGAGAGTGGTGCTTGCTTTAGTCCGTAGAGAGCCTTCTTGAGCTTGGAGACATAATGAGGTCGAGTGGCATCCTGAAACCCAGAAGGCTGGCTGGAAAAAACTGTCTCTTGAAGCTAACCATGGAGGAATGCATTTTTGACATCCAGCTGATGAATGGGCCATCCTTGAGATAGAGCAAGGCTAAGGATGACTCGGACAGTGGCAAGCTTGTTAACAGGGCTGAGAGTTTCATCGTAGTCGACGCCAAGCCGCTGATTAAAGCCGCAAATCCCCTATCGGGCCTTACACCTAGTTAACTCACCTGACGGGCCAAATTTGCGTCTAAAAAGCCGTTTACCAGCAATTATGTTCTATGTGGGGGAGGGGGTACCAATTCCCATGTGTCATTCTTAATCAAAGCATTATATTAATCACACATAGCAGCATGCCTGTTTAGATCTTTTAGAGCACTACGATAAGTTGGGGTTAGAGGGGATATGGGCACGGAGGTGTTCAGGTTGAGTATTTGTTTTATGCAAAAGACACCGGCTTTGGATCGGGTTTGAATGGGGTGGACGTTGGCCGGTGAGGGAGGTAAATGGGCCGTGGGCTGGGGTTGGGAGTCGGGTGTGGGGTATTGGGTAGAGTTGGGCAAAGGGCTTGAATGGGGAGTCTAGGCTTCTGGAGTGGGCTGCACGGGGGAGTTTGGTGGG